AGAGCCTTTTGCAGGCGACTATAGTTGATGCCACTCTTGGCATCAAAAAACCATATCACATGATAAGAGTTAATCAAGGTATGAAAGCAGACCTTGCAGTATGGCAGCAATTTTTGAAACACTTTAATGGGGTCACAGTCATATGCTCTGGTATTTTGTCATCGGATAACAGTCTACAACTATTCACAGATAGTGCAGGGGGGTTTGATGGGGGGTTTGGAATCTTTTTTGCTTGCCGCTGGGCTCACTCAAAATGGCCTACCCACTGGGTGTTTTCTGATGTTATTCGTGACATGACATTCTAAGAACTATTTCCAGTATATGTTTCACTCCTGTTATGGCACCCATGGTTATCAAACAAACGCATACTTTTCCACATTGACATTATGGCAGTTGTAGAAGTCATTAACACATTGACATCTAAGTCAACAAGGGTAATGAACATTGTTAGAAAACTTGTTCTCCTCACTTTGCAACATAACATCACAATTAAAGCCCAGCACATCCCAACAAAACTGAACAAAATAGCTGACAGTTTTTCTCGTTCACAGTGGGGAAAGTTTCGCAACCTGGCTCCAGAGGCAGAGATGTGGCCCACACAGCTCCCCAAGCAGATATGGGAAATTTAATTGCTGAGTCCAAACGCCTTATTCATAGCTCCTTATCACAAAACACCTACATGTACAAAGCTTACCGGGCTGCACTGAATAAATTCCAATCATTTTTAAACATTTATGGCTTACAGCAAACCTGGCCCCTGCACAGCAACATATTACTATATTTTATAGCCTACCTATCCATCCAAAAAATGTCACCCAATTCAGTGTCCCTTTACATTAGTGCATTGTCATACTTCCACAAAATAAACCATCTTCCTGACCCTACCAAGTCCTTCCAAATCAACAAAGCACTTCAAGGCTTAAAGCGCAACAACAGAGTTGTTCCAGACAACCGCCTCCCAATAACCCTACCAATTTTGGAAAAGCTTGTTATATCGCTACAGTCAGTGTGTTGCTCTACTTACGAGGTCAAACTGTTCACATGTGCTTTTTCATTAGCATACTTTGCATTACTTCGTGTAGGGGAATTCACTTTAGTCAACTCAAACACACAGAATTCATCCCATTGCATACAACTCAAACACATTCAAGCACATCCACACAAGCCCTATTTAAGGTTAACCATACCACACTCCAAAACTGACCAGGTTGGTAAGAATACCACCTTTATTATCCATAGCCAGCCACTTGCTACCCTGTGCCCAGTTAAAACTACCTTGGATTTTATCGAGTGTAGGCCCCATACCCCTGTTAACCACAGTTTTCTAATTCATCTTAATACAAAACCATTGACGAGATACCAATTCAACGCAGTCCTTCAAAAGGCTATTGAAAACATATTACCAACACTAGGCCATTTTGGCACACACAGCTTTCGAATTGGGAGGGCAACAGACCTTGCATTACAGGGCACGTCCGATTCTGAAATTCAGAAGTTTGGTAGATGGAAATCAGTAGCTTTTCTTAAATACATAAGGATCATGTAGCTTGGTTCACAACAACATTCCCATACCTACTAGGACTACAGAGTCAATTTAAATTCCAAAACTAACCAACCCGAAGCATTGCAGGTCTAAAAATATGGATCATAGGATCATACATTCCTTTTTGGGCAGGGGAAGCAGCCAAACACTACCCAGGGGGACAAAGCCTGAACCTCCCTGCCACACTGCTATGGAGATCACGCAGGGGGATGCAATGGCAGGAATTAGACCCACAAATCCTACAGCTCATCAAACATGAAGTACCCCCAAATTACTTAGTAATTCATCTAGGATCCAACGATTTGGTAACTCCAAACTTAACTAGCAAAAAATTCATACAAGAGATTCAGTTCAGCTTCCTGCGATATAATGCTCTTCTCCCAAATACTAAACTGGTGTGGTCACACATTCTGCCACGCCGTTATTGGCATTGAGCTCCGTTGAGCAGTGGAAAAAAAATAGACAAGAAACGTAAAAGAATTAACAAAAATATCTCAAAATTTGTCACAGAAATGGGTGGGGGTGTAATTTCACATGCAAACATATCCGTTGCCAATCCGGATTTGTTTAGATTTGATGGTACCAACCTCTCCGAGCTTGGCAACAGAACTTTCTTAAATAACGTAAAAAGTGGATTGTGGTCCCTCATTCAAGGGAAGGGAAAAAGTATCCCCTAATGTAAAGTAATGGAGGAACATCATATCGATGTCTGTGGCGGGTCCGGAGGGATGAGTGGGAGGGTTGTGAACACATCTGGCTCGTTGTTTCCCTGCCCAGCCATCAGACAAGTTGGTGGGCACATTGTTGGGTAGACAGGTTGTCTACAAAGTATCCAACCTATGGCAATGTGTAATAAAAGTCAAGTAAAAAGACAAGTAAAAAGTTTTCGATTGGGGTCGTAGCCAAGTCTGCAGGCCTGGGGCCCCCTCCACCTCTTGTAACAGGAGGGGAGGCTTAGTACTGGAGTACTTGGGTGTAAAAGTACTGCTGACCAGAAGCAATCACCGAAAGCAGGGTATACAGATGTGCTCGCAAATCTCTCGGTCCCTAATGTCTAGTACCTAAATTTGGGATCTCGGGCATCTGTGACCAACACAGGGCCACTGGTTTTGCCCGGTACTTATTAGTCGGTATGCCAGCTATCCCTCCTGGACCATATTTTTTTATTGTACATTTATGCAAAGCGGCCATTTAATGCCAATTCCCTGATGTCCATCACAGTTATGAGTAATGCAAGATTGTATATGTTTTTGTTCAAGTCTTTAATAAATGTAATGAAAATTATACAGCTGTTGTCTATTGTAAAGCTGGCACCAAGGAAAGGTCATGATGACCCTATGTGTAAAAAGAATCAAATAACAATGCATGTCAGGTCCTGCGGGGCAGTGACTACCTGACTGTTCAATTAAAAAGGAATTACAGAGTGATCATTCTCAGATTTTGTTTAATTTTCTATGTGATGATCAGGGTAGTAATTTTGACAAACCTCATCGACTGAAGCAGAATAAGGAGCATTTCTAAATATAGGTGCATTATCATTTATATCCCGAATCTCCAGCTGCATCAGGAAAAACTTTGTTTGTGTTGGATCTTTCTGAAATAAAATTAAGCAAAGTCAAGCAGTTGGTCGGCTGACCATAACTGGACATACTTTACAAAGTTATACACATAAAAAATGTTAAAACAAAATTGAAAAATTGAAATACCTACTCAATTTGGAATATTTGTCTGCTGATCTTAATAGTTACGATAACTGTTAACATAGTAACAATACACCGGTAAGATAATAGGGTATAGTTAAATGCAATTATATCAACATTTCACTGGGTTGAAAGAAAAGCTTTCGCTCACTGTGCAACTGAACCAAAATTTTAATACTCGAAAATTTTCATAGATCAGTAAATAAAAATCAAACTGACAGTGGATCAAATCAAAAAATTAAGAATTCCCCAGTGCCTTGGACTTGTAATGCATACTAGTGAGCTATCATCGCTATTAAACAATTTGTATTTTAAAACTACAATGAAACACCGCATTTCCACCTTTAATGTCTTTTAAAAAAAAGTTATTTTTTATGGCATCTGGGTCTTCTTCCCTCTTTTTTTAAACAAATATTTGCTCGTTTCTTTGAATTAAAATACATACAAATAACATTAAAATTCTGGAGAAGTGACCCAGAGACAATAAATTTTTAGAAAAACGTGTTTAAAAATGTAATTTTTGTACCAATTGACTCCTCTAGCCATATTTCAAGATATAGTTTTGCTAGTCCACCTGCAGTATAAGGAAAATATTTCCCTTTCCTATTTCACAGGAACCCGACATATCAATATCATGTGACGGATCAATGAAAATTGAAAAGTGCTCCCAGACTCCTGCCGAATGCCAATCAAATGCACCCTCGTTTCTTACAAAGATTGCTAATTTTTAACATAATAAATAATTCATAATATCAGCAAATCATTGGATTTTAGGGAATAGTATCACTACTGAAAATTGCCAAAGTTTGTATTATAAGTAGGAGACTCCGAACAAGAATATTTACTATGCCTCTTTGTTCCAGAGTTTGTCTTTAAATACGGTAGTATTCTCGCTATTACAATAAAAATAGTATCAAGGAATCAATAAAAGAACATGAATTTCTACTTAACAAAAGTGGACTCACAGTTTAACAGTTTATGGGTTTTTCTAAATAAATAGGCTCAGATTAGATATGTACTTACCAAAGAACGACAAGATAACTGAAATTCAACAGTGTCAAGGTCATCACTAGCTATATAGGAACTTCCCTGTGTAAATGATAGGAAAAAAATTAATTGCTGTGTAAGAAAGAGAAAATTTTCTTATACTTAAAGGTGCTTAGAAAGTTCGTTCCATAATGAAATACTCATCGGACAAGCACTAAATCTACCACATATCCCCGTTCTGCATATTCTCCTCCCAAAAATATCATTCTTAAAAGTTGAAAAAAAAAAATGATTTGATTGGTTGGTAATCAGTTGTACATTAAATTAACTTTGATAATTTAACAGGATGATAGATATGATTCAGAAAAGTAAAATGAACAATATTATGAAAAGAATATGTAATGATAAATTCCTTCATAATCACAGTGAAAACTAGGGTTAAAAACACAGTCTGATTAAAATCAGATCCTTTGATCCGCTCACATAGATCGCTTCACATGTGTTGAGATCTATGTACGCGGATCAAAGGATCTGATTTTAATCAGATTGGGTTAAAAACAGTTCTTTTCAGTACTATTACATGTATGAATTGGAGCGGTTTTTTTTTTTTGTTTTTGTTTTTGTTTTTTTTTTTTTACAATTTGAACTTGCATCTCTTTCAAGTATATTTATATCACAGATGGATTTTTTTTAAGGGAAACAATTTTTACTTTCAAATTCAATAGCGTACAAACAGTTATACTATTTTAAATTGCAATTTATGAACTTACATCTCTGTCAATTGCCGACTTTAATCGGATAAAAGTCCTACTTCCAAAAGATGAGTCTGTCACTGGTAAAGTTACTAGTTCAAACAGACTATCCAAGTTAAGATCAGCTTGAGTTCTTGCTGATCTTACAATGGTTATGTTGACTCCTGACTCTGTCTGAGTCCCCTGATTTATTCCTTCTATCGTTGTGTCTGTCCTATAGAGTGCAGAATTTGGATCAAAAGAAGCAAAAGTGGATTCGTACACAGTTCCAGCAATGTTAGGATCAGGTGAACTGCATGCTGTGGATGTTTAGATAAACAATCAAACCTTAATCAAATTTTTGGAATGCCAATATTTGAAATAAATAAAGATTTGTAAGATTGTGGAAAAAATTCTCTTCAAATCATTCATTGAATTAAATTTGATTGTGTAAACGTACTGAACAAAAACTTACGTTCCTGCGAATCCACTTTGTGTATGGAAATATAAAGCCAAAGAAGTGTAAAAAGCAGCCGTAAAATGTTCCGATTCTGCATCTAGGAACTGATAGAGATTTCTGAGCAAGAAAATTACACCATAAAATTATTTTTGTCAACACGTTTTATATCTGATTTTCCTCCTTTATTTCTATTACTTTACGAACTGAATAAACTACTACACTTTTGATTAGGAAAAACAAATAGCTTTATGTACAAGAAAAGTGTAAATATATTGAAATTATGAGTTACATGTATGAGTGAAAATGTTAATTAAAGTTGCTGATTGTTTTTTAACACAGGGTATTTTTCTAGCATTATTTACTTTTTGTCATTTGAATTTTTCAAATTATGAAAAATAATTAAATTATCCCTCACTTGAGTTCCTATCTGAAAATTTTCTCTCAAAATACCCCTAGCAAAAAATTATAGTTAAGTAAAGTTTACTATAGTTAACTATAGTGATAACTTTGACACTATGAAAACTATAGTTAACGATAGTGATAACCTTGACACTTTGATTTACCATAGTGATAACTTTGAAAACTTTGATTTACTGTAGTGATCACTATGACACTATAGTGATAACTATGAAAACTTTGAAATACTTTAGTGATTACTATGAAAACTTTGAAATACTTTAGTGATCACTATGAAAACTTTGACTTACTATGGTGAAAACTTTGATTAACTATAGTGATAACTTTGAAAACTTTGATTTACTATAGTGATAACTATGACACTACATTGATCACTTTGAAAACTTTGATTTACTATAGTGATCACTATGACACTACATTGATCACTTTGAAAACTTTGATTTACTATAGTTAACTATAGTTAACTATAGTTAACATAGTTTACTGTAGTATTTTTTGTTAGGGACAGTACCTGAAGAGATTTAATAACCTAGAATAAAATGTACACACACAACTTATTGTTTACCAAAACACTTTTTTGTCAACAAGGTGTTCTCAGTTTGGTGGGTTTGAATTAAAAAAAAAATTCTGTTGGTGTGAAAAATGTCATTTATAAATGTAAATGACAGAAAATATACAACGGTAAATACATATACAACCAATGATAATCAAGATACCCACGAAGCCTCACAACCAACATATACATTAATTGGTATTCACAATTACATGTATGACCCACCAAAGTTCGGGAAGTTAATGCGCCACAAATTGTGGTAACTCCTTGGCACATTACTCCCCATACACACCTCTTTTGAAATAGACTTTTTTAAGGTCAGACGACATTTCCCTCAATAATTTTCCCCAAGAAATTGTCATTAAAGTATTCCTACTTTAACAAGTTTACTCACAACAAATTGAGGTACCTTACCAGACATTTGTGCAAGATACCAGAGGATGGTGTTTCCTATACACTCCTTCATGGCACCTGATCCCACCTCTGATGTTTTGGAGGTTCATTTTGCTCTGCTTGCGTGATTTGTATTGTTTGAATGGACTTTTGAGCCTGAAACTGTTCGTTATCTCCATATATTTCATCCTATTGGAAATCACTTGAATTGCCAATATCATATTTTTTGGCGTTTTTCTTTTAAAAGACATTTTCATAACAGTTTAGAACCAAAAGTTGATGATAATTATTAATATATAATATAAAGGAGATACAAAAACAGATATTTGTGAAACGCATAGTATGACCTTAAAAATGCAGTAAGTTTCTTAGACATACATATGTACTTACACTACATTTTATACATGTCATCTGATAATAACTGATATGCAGTATGTTTTGAATACACCATTTTATCAATATCAAAAATTCTACGGGTTTAGCTCTTGGCCACGCGTTGTAGATACAATTCGAAATTTAAGGACAAACCTCTTTTTCCTGGAAAAACACTGGAAGTGAGCGACCTTTGATGTAATCGATATATGTTTTGGAAATCTTTCTTATGTTTAGCCAATACATGTACACTGTATGTACATTGCAAAAATAAGGATAAATGGCATATATGTGAGAAATCTAATTGTTTCATGGTCTATATTTTTCAATATCATTTGATTTTTAGGGCTCTTCCTACTTTCATTAACTGAATAGATTAATATAACTAGAATTGAATATTTCATCAGGAACAGTGCACCAATTGCATACTTTTATTTTCCGCGCTTAAACGTGCTTGAGTTTGGAATAATTATCTGCTTTATTGAAAATGATAATTGACCAAGTGATTTTATAAATATTTGTTTCTATATAAGTTTTCGAATATGATTCATTATGATTTTTACAAAGCAACTGGAAAATTCCATTAGAAATACATTGGGTGAAAGAACACGCTCGGGCATTTAAATTAATGTAAATTTGCATGAAAGTTATATCCATAGGCAAATTATTATTTTAAAAACTAAGAATTTTAATGTCTTTTCTTACCTTTGTTTATAATTGCATGATGAGAGCATTTTAATTTAGTTTGTATAAAGCCACACAGCATTAGATATTTAAAAGAAAAATGAAAACTAAAACACAGCAAACAACTATCATATTCCATCTTACCTCTGAAGACTATAAGGCATTAAGAAATGGAAATTAACTTCCTCGTTTTAAACGAGAACATACTTAGTCCTTGAGGTGCATAAAGTGTGATTTTCACTACAATTGTTAAGTTCAAAGGCAAAAGGCACGGTCTCTTTTTATCGTATTATTTGTCATAAGAAATAAATTAGAAAAAAAATCCAACCTATTATTTTTTATTCAAGCAATTGATGTTAGGTTAAAAGGAAACCCTACTTGTCAATAACATGTACAGGACGTACAGTGTATAAACATAACTCAACTCAAATTATGTTACCCGGAATTTTCACAGGTACATGTGGACAGGACCCCCCCCCTCCCCCCGATATTCAACCACGGGGCTTGTTGGACATTTTTTTCCCACAAATTATATTCATTGCACTTATTTATCACGTGTACCATAGGAATAAATCGTGAAAACCCCAAAATAATCGTTCCACACACACACAAAAAAAACAGTTATACATTTTAAGAGAGAAAGGTATGCCACTCCGGTTTGTTAACGTTGTACCCCCACTGGTCTTTCTGGGTTTATTTTATTTTAACCTAAAATATCGGTTCACACCGTCTCTACATATATTTCTGTCTTAGTTCATGCTGTCGGATTGACTCTGCTCCTCGTACGAGTCCCACAATTTCTCCTTAAACAGCATTGAAATCGGTGCGTTGAAAAATCCTTAGGTAAACGCAACGGAAGTGCATATTACCTATTATGATAACGCCCGAGAGAGTTTTGGCCTGACGTAGCCTGGTCCCCTGACTCATCCTTGCCAAGGCAGGAGAGCCAGGTGGATTACAATCTATGCTGTCCTCTGATTGGTCAGAACAATCGCACTAAATCGTTGGATTTTTGAGCCTTAGCCTTAGTACATAAGTCCTCGAACCGCTTCATGCTTCATCGGATATCCGTAACGCAGTGGTTGTTAGTACGGGAATTAATGTTGCAGCTGTTGCAGAAAAATGCATAACCCGCGTAAATCGACTTCGAGCTTGAATACTGTTCGTTATCTCCATATTTCATTTATTCTCTGTTACCCGTATAAGAAGAGGAATGTCGGTAGATGAAGGATTTTAATACAATCTACGAAAAAGATAATAAGAACATGTACATATTCCTTACCTTTGCATGCTCCAATTCATTGTTAGTTTTACACTAGAAATAAGAGTTGCGTGACCTTGAAATGGATATGATGTGCAATAGATACTGTAGAACCTTTGTTTGGCATTTTTTTTTTTTTTTTTTGCATTCTTTGTTTGCTTTAAAACAGTTACGGTGTCTGATATATACGGTGGCTGGTATAGGACATGGTGTGATAATTTTATTTATTAATCAATCAATTCGTGGCCTGCACGAAATAAAATTTCGTGATCACGAAATGAAAATTCATGGCTGCGAAATAAAATTCGTGGGAACAAAAAAAAAATTCATAGCCTCAAAATAAAATTCGTGGGAAAGAATTGAAAATTCGTGGCCACGGAATAAAATTCTTGGAAACGAAATGAAATTTGTGGCCGTGAATCATACATTGTGTGCGTTAAATAAAATTAATATGAAACGGATTCAGCATTTGTGCGTTTTACTGCAGTCATCAAGTTATAAACAGATTGACTGTTACTATATAGATGCCTCCTTGATCCATTAAACGTACAAAATGTGGGCATTTACTTATCAACATTTAGAACTCTTGAATTCTATCCAGGAAAAAAAAAGTTTTATGTTGATATAAAATATAATAATCTGATAAAAATCTAATGTATAAAATCATATACTAATAGTCTCGATATTTTTAACAGCTTTATTTATAACCACTGTGAACAAACCATTTTTTTTTGTACTAAACAAATATAAATCATTATAAACATTCTTGGATTAGTATTTAAGGATGTATTCTGCCAATTATGCTGAGGTGTCAGGCATTTTTACGGAACTCTTCTGATTTATCAAGCAGCTAGAGATGATAAAATGCAGTTTAAATATTTTCATTTCTGTAGAAAAGGGAAGATATTTAGACACTGTGAAAGGATTTCTACTGTACATCTTGTGTTCCTCGTATCATTTCTTTTTATTGAAAGAACTAGCCTACATGTATATTGGATTTAATATCATAGATTGATGAAACTGTGAGGAGTTTTAAGACGAATGTTCCATTATAAGGGGGGAGGGGGGTATTCTCAACTTTTTTACATTTGCAAAAAAATTAAGGAATAGATATATAAATAGATGAAAATATATATTTATAGTAGCCATTCACTATTATACAATACCAAATAGAGAAGATAATAATGATACACTAAAAACTGTCTTTAGAAATTTATCTTAAAGAAAATAAATATCAACACATGGGTTTTTTTCACCCATTGATAAAGAAATGTGAGGGAAAACCCCACGTGACAATATAGGCAACACATGGGTTAAGAAAACCCGCACTGATTTGTAGGCGTATATTTTCCATATGGGGAAATTTTTTAACCCCATGGGGTTTTTATGGGGTGATTCAAGTACATGTTTCTCCATGGGAGTTTTGTCTTTGCTTCTTATTATCTCATAAACTAGCTGAAAATGTTGTATTTTTTTTTATTTATAAATGAATTTAGGTACAAAAAAAATCTCTCCATTAAAAAAGGCCAAAGTCGATAGCTTAAAGAGAAAAGGTTGCGCAAGTTCGGAAAGTTGTCCATCCCATTGTTACTAGACATTTTAACAACTTTATTAATAACCACTTTGAACAAACCTTATTTTGTGTGTACTAAACATGTACTAATCATTCTTAGATTAGTATTTAATCACTTAACATTTCAAATACTAGAAATTTTTAATGATATAATTATATTGTTGAATTTAACACCATATCAATAAATCATTTGCATCAAAGTCACAATATTTCATGAAGTATGTATCCATCAAAATACATGTACATGTACTATGAATCACCGCAGCAAAAACTACATCAACTATGTTTCAAACTTTATAACCTAATTAACACTAACTAATAATGAAACAAAAACGTTAATTTCATAAGGTAAAGATAAAACCTCTAGTATAAGTGTTAACATCAAGGGAATCAATTACTATGTTCATATGTACATGCTTTGAGAGGGTACGTCTTTTAAGAAGTGATTCACTTATCCGGACAATTTCGTTGGGGACGGAGGCGTCCGGATTAACGAGGCGCCACTGTATAAATATAGTGTATCAGTTCTAATAACTGTTGTCTGTAGCTATAACAATTCAGGCACGTAGCACAGGGGCAACTATAATATAATTATATATGTTGTATACGTGTATAAGGATTGTTCCCTATAAAATGTTGTCTCTGTAATCTGCAAGAACAGCGAGAACAGCCCGAATCTACGAAAGCCTATTAGGATCAATCTATGGGTCAAAAAAATTTAAAAGGCGTAATTACACCACTTCAAAAGGTGTATTAAAGCAAATTGAAAAGGCATTACATGTATAACGCCAACAAAGGCGTAATAACGCGAAAAAGGGCGACATTACGCCTTTCAGAAAGACGTTATTATGCCTTTTGATAACCTTATTATGCCTTTTGACAGGCCAGTATCAACATTTCTGAAGGGGGGGAGGGGCAACCTCCCAAAAATGAAAAGCAAAGAAAAAACAACACAAAACAAAGCAAACATATTAAACCTACACTGTCTATTTCGGGGGGGGGGGGGGGGTATGGGCGTACGGGATCTTCTTGCTTACTTCTCGGTAAAACTTTTTTTATTTGCTATAATTTGTCAGAGTCCAACCATACTGCAACAAAATGTGCAGGGGCCAAGCAACCTGTAAATGATTTTTAATATCAAAACTACAGCAAGACTATTCTCCCAAAAAAGTGGGGTGGGGTGTCCCTCCTTCCCCGTACTACCGGCCTGTTTGAAAAGGCGTTTTAGCGAAAAATTCAAACTTCCGCCAGAGTTCGTTTGTACCAAACGGAGTGCGGAGACGCAGAGGACTATGGGTAGTATGCAAAAAATTAGAAAGGCGTTATTATATGTTAATAATTATATGAATGGTGAAATCAACGCCATTTTTATTCATGCAATATTTAAAAATATTTTCTATACTCTTGCTCCTCTCGCAGATAACTGTCAAAACTCTACATATTCTTCTGAAAATCCAAGATTTAGGCAGATGCAGCTTGGGGCTTTGATGGTCATATGTTAAAAAATTATTTCACATTTGAAAATCGTTAACTTTCCTTTCTTTGAAAAAAAGGAGGCAAAGTATTGGCATCAGTATAACGAGAATTAGCTTTCAACAAAAATTGTGAAATCCATGACCTTTGGTCCAGGTGTCTGGCATTAGAGAAGGACTAAGTTGGTTTAACATTGAAAATATATTACACATTTAAGGACATACGCAACGTAGTTTGAGCTTTATCGTCTTTTTCCCTGGAGTTGAAGAGTTCCAATACTTAAAGTAACTGTATGCTATATTTTAATGTCTATATATGCTATTGTACACTTCTTCTAAATCAAGTTTGGATAAATAAAACATCGAGAATATATGTTTAGTAATTTTTGTATATTTTTCTTTGAATTATACGAGAATTTTCATCAATTGATATATTTTCAAAACCCCTGGTAAAGCATGTTGATTTTTTGTCTACGAACATCTGATAGCACTATAATCTTAAGTTAAAAATATCTTGAAAAATTATCAGTAGGTAAGGTACGTTGCGTTTGTCCTTAAAAGTCTTTTTTTTTCTTTGATATCTGACTACAATCTATTTAAAAAAATTTTTTTTTGAAAATTTAACGCTATATCAAATTGTGAAAATCAAGTCAAGAGGGTCAACATTTCAGCCCCCGGGGTTGGGGTAATTTAGTAACGTATTGAAAACAAGAGGCCCAAGAGCCTTAACGGTCACCTGAGTATAATACAACACTATAAAGAATCCATAGAAGTATAAAACAAAATTAAATGAAAGATGAAGCTATATGTTGCCCAAGAATTTCAGATATCTGGTAAAAATACCATTGCTTATTGTAATGTGTGTGACCCGAATAATCTCCTTATATATA